CCCCCCCCCTCCCCCCTCCTTATTGACGTGTGAAAGAACCCGGCGTGCTCCGTCGCGGCTTTGTAGGGACGCGAGGTCAATCGGCATACACGGCTATGACTACCCCCCCCCTCCGTGCTTGGTGATGTGAGAGCCTGGTCCGGTGAGAACCCGGCGTGCTCCGTCCCGGCTTTGTAGGGATGCGAGGTCAATGGTCTAACGACTACGGCATGCACGACCATGAGTACACCCCCCCCCCCCCCCCCCCCCCCCCCCCCTCTCCCCATGTGAAAGCCCCACGTACTTTCGGTGCCGCTCCGCCAACGGAGGCGGTCCTTTTCTCGCGTACCCCCCCCCTTCCCCCTCGCCCGCCGCTCCCGCTGCCGCCGCGATACCATCCGCCCACATCCCGCCTTTCCCGTGCGTGGCCTTCGGCGTCACCGCACCCGGGGACGGCGGGGACGCGACAGCAGCGGAGGAAATACCGAGCCCGCTCCAAGCCTCGCCCGCCGCGGCCACCGCTGCCTGGGGCACGGGGGAAGCGAAGTCGAAGTCCCCGAGACCCGCGGCGTCCACCCTAGCCTGCTCGTCGAAGCTCTCATCCCCGTCCCCAAAATCCCACTCCACGGACAGGGTCTTGGGGTCGTTGGTCGCCGCGTCTAGCGGGGCGCCGCTGGTGGTGTCCGCCTTGGATGCGGCGGCGGCGGCGATGGCTGCTGCGGCGGAGGCCGGGAGGGCGGTGGTGGGTTTGGCCTTGTGCGTCGCGTCCTGCGGGGGCTCCGTGGAGTTTAGCAGCCCCCCCCCGAAGAGCGACTTCATCATCTGCGGACCGGTGTGGAAGCGGAAATGAGACCTTGTACTTGTACTGACAGTACCCTCTTCAATAGTGCCCGCCAGATTCACCGGCACTATAACGGGCATCCGGTACTATTTCAGAGACAACTTGAATATTCCAAGCGTGTCAGGCGATTTGACCGGCGTCATGCCGGGACCGGCGCTACGCCGGGCAGTAGCACTATCAAGTGACCCGGGACTATTTGAGGGACCCGCGTTGTACTGCTGAAGTGATGCTGTTCTAGTAGACGCGGAGAAAGGGCTAGAGTACAGGCCGACAGGGGGCACAATGCCTATGATGGGCTCGACACAGCAAGCGAGAAGGGAGGACGCTTCGCTCTTGTCCGCCTCCTCGATGCTACTTCTCTCGTTGCGACTCTAGTAGCAGGAGTACATAAACAACCGTGCTTCTTTCGGGAGCGAGCGGTCAACAAGATTGGTCGATAAAATGCTACCACCCATCTGCGAAGACTCCCCTGCCACCACCCTTGCTACTAATCCCCCCCCCCCCCCCCCCCCCCCCCCCCCCCCCCCCCCCCCCCCCCCCCCCCCCCCCCCCCCCCCCCCCCCCCCC